TGAATTTCTAGAAATTGTCCATTTCATCTAGGTCATCTAATTTGTTGGTGTACAATTGTTCAGAGTATTCACTTATAATCCTTTTTATTTCTATAAATTTGGTAGTAATGTCACCACTTTCATTCTGACTTTAGTTATTTGCAGCTTCTCTTTTCTTAGCCCAGCTAAAGGTTTGCCAATTTTGTTGACCTTTTCGAAGAAACCACCTTTGGTTTTGTTAATTCTACTTTTCTATCCTCTGTTTTGTCTATCTCCACTCTAATATTTATTATTTCCTTCCTTCTGCTTCTTGGCTTTCTTTTCTAGTTGCTCTTCTTTGTCCAATGAATTAAGGTGTAAAGTGAGGTTACTGATTTTAGGAATTTTTTTTAATATAGGCAGTCACAGCTATAAGCTGAGCACTGCTTTCACTACATCCATCAGTTTTGGTATGTTATTTTCTTTCATCTCAAAATGTTTTCTAATTTCCCATGTGATTTCTTCTTTGATTCATTGGTTGTTTAAAAGTTTGAGACCAGCCTGACCAATGTGGTGAAACCCTGTCTCTACTAAAAATACAAAAATTAGCCGGGAGTATTGGCGCACACCTGTCATCCCAGCTACTCAGGAGGCTGAGGCAGGAGAATCGCTTGAACCCAGGAGGCGGAGAACGTGCCACTGAACTTCAGCCTGGGCAACAGAGCGAGATTGTGTCTTGGAAAAAAAAAAAAAAGAAGAAGTTTGTTAATTTCTGCTATTTACTTTTCCGAGTCCTTATTACAGTTGCTCCATGGATTCTGTTAAGAACTTATAATTGCCTTCAGCAGTAGAAACAAAGTGGGATATATTTATTCTACCATCTCTAGAACTGGAATCTTCTCTTTAGGAGAGTAAAAATATCTAGAGTTTTTTTCAGTATTTAGTGGAGAGCTGTAGGCAAATGAGGCAAAATCTGAGAAGCAGGCATTTGAATCCAGGCTATCAGGATATTGCTGACCTTATGAATGGAAAACCTTGATGCTGGAAGTCCAGAAAAAAGCAGGAACTCTTCAAAGATATTACCAACTTGTTATGGGTGGAAATTGTGTTCAACTTGTAACCATCCACATCCTGGTGGCCATGTGGTTCCCTATAACTGGTAGCCTCTAGCGCTAACACATGGATAGTTAATGCTGCCCTACACTTTATTTTAATCTCCATGTTATCTCACAGAATAAACAGACCACAAATAACCATTTCTTTACTGATGAGGGTTCCAGGGTTTTTTGTAACTGTTTTGCTATTAGGAACAAAACTAGAATAATTGTTCTAGTACATATAATCCTTACCTGATAGAGTATATTTTTGAAAATGAGGAATTGGGAGTTAACTTTTTCTTTTGTTATTTCTATTAATAATTGACACACAACAGTTGTACGCATTTATGGGATACAACGTGACATTCTGAAACAAGTATACAATGTGTAAAGATCAAATCAGGGTAATTAACATATCCAACATCTCAAATTTTATAACTTCTGTGTTAGGAACATTCAAAATGTGCTCTTCTAGGTATGTGAAAATATACAATAAATTGTTGTTAATAATAGTCACTCTATAGTGCTAGAGAACACTAGAATGTATTACTCCTATCTAGCTGTACTTTTGTATTTGTTAATCAACCTTTAGGTATCCCCCAGCTCCCAGTAAAAACTATATTCAGAACGAATTTGCTCAATGTGAAATTTTATGTACTTTAACTTTCAATATATATTATCCTTGCTTTCCAGGCTAGCAAATTTTTTCTTTATAACTTTATTCAAAATTTTATCTTATTAGTTCTTGTACTTTCAGTATTGTCCGTGCATTGGTACCTAACAAGGTTTGTTCCCCACTTACTTTTGTCACAGTCTCATTTCAGTCCAAATTTCCCTGAGAAACGTGAGCAGCTTTTCATACAGTGGTTGGCCATTTAGATTAGTTCCTTTAGAATATACTGCTCATGTTTTTCCTGTTTTTTTTTTGTTTCATTTTGTTTTGCTTTGAGACAGTCTTGCTCTGTTGCCCAGGCTGGTGTGCTGCAGCGTGATCTCAGCTCACTACAACCTCCACCTCCTGGGTTCAAGGGATTCTCGTGCCTCAGCCTCCCGAGTAACTGGGATTACAGGCATGTGCCACCACGTCCTCAGTGCTGGGATTACAGACATGAGCCACTGTGCCTGGCCATAAAGTTCGGAGCTGGGCACGGTGGCTCATGACTGTAACCCCAGCACTTTGGGAGGCCGAGGCAGGTGGATCACCTGAGGTTGGGAGGGTGAGACCAGCCTGGTCAACATGGCGAAACCCCGTCTCTACTAAAAATACAAAAATTAGCCGGGCATGGTGGTGCACACCTATAACCCCAGCTACTCAGGAGGGTGAAGTACGAGAATCACTTGAACACAGGAGGTGGAGGTTGCAGTGAGCCGAGATCGTGCCACTGCACTCCAGCCTGGAAGGCAGAGTAAAACTGTGTCTCAAAAATAAATAAATAAATAAGGAACTTTTTATTATGGAAAATCCCAAACATTTAGTGGTTCATCCCTGTAATCCCAGCACTTTGCAAGGCTAAAGTGGGAGGATCACTTAAGCCCAAGAGTTCATGACCAGCCTGGGAAATATAGTGAGACCAATTCTCAACAAAAAAATATTAAAAACTAGCTGAGCATGGTGGCGCACACCTGTAGTCCCAGCTACTCAGGAGGCTGAGGTGGGAGGATCACTGAGCACAGGAGGTGGAGGCTAACAGTGAGCTGAGAATGTACCACTGTGCTCCAGCCTGGGTGACAGTGAGACCCTGTCTCAAAAAAAAAAAAAGTAAAAAAAGTAGTATAATAACCCCTTTGAATCCATCACTCATCTTCAACAATTATCAATATTCTGCTATTTAAAACTCCATCCACCTACTATTCCCCAGACAATTGTTAGTATTGTTTTTTAGCCATTGCTTTTAAAGCCAATCTTTGTTAGGTTTTCTATTTTTTACATAAACCACATTCTTAACTTTTACACTAGTTACATAAAATTTGCAGTAGAAATAGCCATGGAATAGATAGATATCGGATACTCTCTTGGTATCTACTGATATCTTTTTCTTTTTTTCTTTTTTGGAGACAAAGTATTGCTCTGTCACCCAGGCTGGAGTGCAGTGGCATGATTTCAGCTCACTGCAACCTCCACCTGCTGGATCCAAGCCATTCTCCTGGCTCAGCCTCCTTGAGTAACTTGGATTATAGGCGTGCACCACCACACCTGGCTAATTTTTCTGTTTTTAGTAGAGATGGGGTTTCACCATGTTGGCCAGGCTGGTCTTGAACTTCTGATCTCAGGTAATCTGCCCGCCATGGCCTCCTAAAGTGCTGGGATTACAGGTATGACCTACCGTGCCTGGCCTATTGATATTATCTTAATATTATTTAACACTGAATATTAAAGTTGAATATTATATTAAATATGATTTCACATTGAAGTCCCCTTGCATTGCTGAAATAATGATTAAGTAATGTTACACACACATACTGACAGAGGTTATTTTTATTTTTAATTGAGGCAGAGTCTCACTCTGTTGCCCAGGATGGAGTGCAGTGGCACAATCTTCGCTCACTGCAACCTCCACCTCCTGGGTTCAAGTGATTCTCATGCCTCGCCCTCCCAAGTAGTTGGGATTACAGGAGTGTGCCACCACACCCAGCTAATTTTTGTATTTTTAGTAGAGATGGGGTTTCACCATGTTGGCCAGGCTGGTCTCAAACTCCTGGCCTCAAGTGATCTGTCTGCCTTGGCCTCCCAAAGTGCTGTGATTACAGGCATGATGAGCCAATGCACCTGGCCAAGATGATTATTTTAAATGCAAACTGACATTTTAATTTTTTTTTTTTTTTTTTTTTTGAGACAGAGTCTCTGTCTCCCAGGCTAGAGTGCAGTGGTGTGATCTCGGCTAACTGCAAGCTCTGCCTCCCAGGTTCACGCCATTCTCCTGCCTCAGCCACCTGAGTAGCTGGGACTACAGGTGCCCGCCACCACGCCCGGCTGATTTTTTGTATATTTAGTAGAGACGGGGTTTCACCATGTTAGCCAGGATGGTCTCGATCTCCTGACCTCATGATCCATCTGTCTTGGCCTCCCAGTGTTGGGATTACAGGCATGAGCCACTGCGCCCAGCCACAAACTGACATTCTGATTTTTAATAGGATTCAGCCTCTTTATAGTTAGTGAAGCAACTGAAATGCTCCTTGTGACGGGTCAATTTGGGGGCAGCAGTGCAATGTCCATGTGGGGTTTAGTGCAATCCTAATTGCTACATCAAACAAGAGAAGGGAAAAGTGAGGTGGAAGTAGGGGCATAACATAACCCCCCATTACTTTCCATAAAGCCTGACAGACACATGAACAGAAGAACGCAGTAGGGGGGCTAAAGAAAAAATAATAGTTAACTGGGGAGAGATGAAGATGCTTTTGAGAAGACATGAGATTACTGCTGAATTTTTAGGATAAAGCCAGTGCATACAAGGCTGAGCTATGGTGTTTGTGTATGAAGTTGTTATGACAGGTAACAGAGCCTATGGGGAGAGACCCCTAATCACCTCATTCCCTCAGAGTTGAGACCTGCCAGGGACAGAGCTTATACTTTAAGGTCCAGAACACAAGAACACTCAGGCAGAAATCTGGACCCGATACTATAGTTGAGGCCTTGTCAACCTTGCCTACCTACCCCACATTCCCTATTCCCATCTCCTCCTTCCCTAAAAAACTCCCATAGGAACTCTTGAAACTGGTTCATAGGTAAATTCAGGGAAAGATCCAAAAGAACCCGGCAGGTCTCCAGTTAAGCCCTCTGGAATCCCTCATGGACCTTTGAAGCTCCTGAACTCTCATAACAGATCCTGACACCAGCTGAAAGACTTTAGGACAGATTGGCTCTTAGATCAGAGCTCCTGTATGTCCTCCTCAGCCTTTCAAGGAGCATGACAGCAGACAGTGCTCTACAGACCCATGTCTGTTGTATTCCTCAGGCCTGCACATGCCTGAAGGATGAGACAATCAGGAACCAAACTCCTGTCCTGAAACAGATTCCTCAGGGAATCTCCCTGTTCTTCGCCAAACAGTTTGAGTGGGATTGACTCTAAGGCCACCTTCAAGGATAGTCCTAACTGGCTTAATCCAATGAGCCAATCCCTCTCGCATAGTGATTGGGTCAGGGATAGACAAGCAACCCAGTGTGTAAACTTGCTTTTGCTACAAAACCAAACTATCCCAAAATTTAGTGGAATAGTTTAAAACAACAAACTTCTTTTTACTTCTCACAGTTCTGTCAGTTGGCTGAGTGGTTCTTCAGGTCTGGACTGGTTCAGCTAAGATCCAATGGTCTAGGTCTAAGGACGGCCAGTTGGTCATAGGAATGAGGTGGCGCTTATCTAGGACAGCTCATTTCTGCTCCACATGGTCTCTCCATCTTCATGCTTCTCACATGGAGGTCTAAGGTTCCAAAGAACAATTTTCAAATCTCTGCTTGCATCACATAAAAAGGTATGGCCAAAGTCAGTCACACGTTCAAGCCCAGACTCAGTGTGCGAGTGACATGCACAAAGATGTGGTGACGGGGAGGTATGATCACACTGGTAGTCATTGCAGCACATACAGTATTATCCAGGAGTCTTGAGTCCTTCTGAAAAGTCAAGCTTCCTCTCTCTTCTTTGGGGGCTACTATGAAAGATCTTCTTCACACTGTCAATGCAACAATAAGAAAAGAATTTAGGCCGGGCGCGGTGGCTCACGCCTGTAATCCCAGCACTTTGGGAGGCCAAGACGGGCGGATCACGAGGTCAGGAGATCGAGACCATTCTGGCTAACACGGTGAAACCCCGTCTCTACTAAAAAAATACAAAAATTAGCCGGGCGAGGTGGCGGGCGCCTATAGTCCCAGCTACACGGGAGGCTGAGGCAGGAGAATGGCGTGAACCCGGGAGGCGGAGCTTGCAGTGAGTGGAGATCGCACCACTGCACTCCAGCCTGGGCGACAGAGCGAGACTCCGTCTAAAAAAAAAAAAAAAAAAAAAAGAATTTAGAGCTGCTAGGTTGGGTGGGGAGTGGGGTTGGGTGGGGAGTGGGCCTCAAGTAGAGAGTAAGGATTAAATGAGAGGAGAGGGACAGAGGGAAACCAGGTCCTACAAAGGTGTTTGAGATACTGAACCATGCTCTGCCTAAAGATTTTTCACGCACATAAAACAGGACATTTCCTTTTGTTTAAGCCAGTGGGAGTTATATTACTGCTACATGCAACCAAAAGCATCCTCACATGGTTGTGAAGACAGAGCAGATATGGTCAGAGAAAGTGTAGATACAGGGGTCAAAGAAGATGTTATTTTTCAGATGAGACAGGTTGAAACGTGTTTATATGTTGAAACGAGGTGTTTATACGTTGAAATGAGCAGAGGAAAGATTGAAGATACAAGAAAATAAGCTGACAACCAATAAAGTAATTCCTATGGGAAAACAGGAGGTAGTAGGATTTAGGACACAGGTGAAGGGATTATTTTCCTTTAAACAGAATGGTATGCCTGAGAGCAACTGGAACAACACAGACACTCAACAAATGTTTGCTGAACAAATAGATTGAAGATTTGGGATCTTCTGATACCTCCTTCTCTCACAAATCAATATATGCCCAGTTTACAGAAAGCTACATTAATCCATGGCATTCTCAGTCTTCCCAATCCACCTTTGGAAGATAATCTTGATTGTGGCTTTCAGATTACCTTGCTTTTGCATCCAAGAACTGTTTACCCCAAGTATTTCAGGAAGAATCAGAGGAATGAGTACCTAATCTTGAACTCATTACACAATCTTGAGTTCTCTCTCCCACCAGATCAGTGTTTTTCAAAATATAAACCTGACAACTTGCAACAAAATCACCTTGGGGGCTTACTGAAAGGCAGATTCGTGACCCCACTTACTAAGTTGGATTCTGAACGAGAGAATCTGCATTTTAACATTCTCTGTTCTCAAGTTGGTCTTTATGTTGCTCTACCAGACGTAAACTGTCTAAGAGCAAGGGCAGGGTCTGGTTGCCTTTGTTTCCTCAGCACATTTCCTGGCATAATGTTTATCAAATGAGTATTTAAGTCAGGGAATCCATGCCACTAAATCTGAGTTCACAAATTAAGCTTTTCAGAAAGCACATTTTAAAGTACGGTTCCAGTATGTTACAGTAAGTTGATGTATATTTCAAATCTGTCATGTGTTGAAGGGAGAAAATTAAGCTTTTCAGAAAGCACATCTTTAAAGTATGGTTCCAGTATGTTACAGTAAGTTGATGGATATTTCAAATCTGTCATGTGTTGAAGGGAGGAAATGATAGAGAAACACTGTCCTATATTTGGCAAGCCAAGAGTCTGACTTTATAACATCTTAAAATCTGCTTCTACTTATTAAAAAAAAACAAAAACTCAAGTTTCTCCCTTAAAAAGCAAAATTAATATGTACAGCCTAGTCATAGTGTGAAGCCAGGCTGGTAAACGTTCCTTCATGATTAATACCCAAGAGTTTTCCCAGGCTCATCTTACCACCCTGGCCCTGTGGCCAACCCTATCTATCACAGCTGGGAAAGGCTACCTTTTGAATGCTCTTTTTTTTAACTGCAGCCTTGACCTCCTGGACTCAAGCAATCCTCTCCTACCTCAGCCTCCACGCCCAGCTGATTTTTGTGTATTTTCTAGAGACAGGGTTTCACCATGTTGCCCAGGCTGGTCTCGAACTCCTGGGCTCAAGTAAGCCACCCACTTTGGCCTCCCAAAGTGCTGGGATTAGAGGCGTTAGCCACCGTGCCCAGCCTGATCTTCTTTCTATAAAAACAAAACAACAAAATGTATACATAGATGAACAACATCAGTCGTCCACCAGGATGCCTCCTGTGATGGTTAATTTTACGTCAAGTTGGCAGAACCACAGTATGCAAATATGTGGTCAAACATTATTCCAGATGTTTCCAAGAGGATGTTTTTGGATGACATTAACATTTAATAGGTGGACTTTTGAGTAAAGCTGATTGCCCTCCACAGGCCTGACTAGAACAAGACTGACCTCCCCCTAGCTAGAGGGAATGCAGCAGACAGCTTTCAGACTTGAACCGCAACGTCAGCTTTTTCCTGGGTCTTCAGCCTTAAATGGCAGCAATGACTCTTTTCTGTGTCTCTAGCCTGCCAGTCCACCATGCAGATTTTGGATTTGCTGGCCTCCTTAACTATGAGACAATTCCTTAAAATAAACCTCTTTATCCACACACCCTTTAGTTCTATTTATTTGGAGAACCCTGACTGATACACTTCCTCCAATCACTTTGTACCACTGCTGTGCACACACACCTGCCCCTTCACTCAACTTCAACCCGCTTTCACTTTCAAATGCCCACACTGAAGCGTCATCTTGAGAGCACTGCCTTTGTTCAGCCTATTAAACTGCTCTGCCTGCATGTGCAGAGCTAGGCGTGCCTGCACACTTAACATCCTCTTCAGCAGCCACATGAAAAACAGGGTAAGTGTATGCAAGCCCAGCTCCCTTGTCTCCGGCAGCGATAACTCTGAGGTATCACCTATACTCCCTAACTCTCCTGTGAAGTCATACTGAAACGATCTTTTGCAAAGGTCTGCCTCAGCTTTCATCCTTCTTGGCTTCCATTCCCTATCTTGCTTGCTCCACTTCTTTACCAAAGTTTAGAGCCAAAACGAAGTTAACAGCCTATCGTTTCTTCCTGCCTTTTCTGATCCATTTTGATCCACTGCACTAATCTCTCTAAAATACACATCACGTCTTTTTTTTTTTTTTTTTTTTTTTTTTTTGAGACGTAGTCTCACCCTGGTGCCCAGGCTGGAGTGCAATGGCGGATCTCGGCTCACTGCAACCTCCGCTTCCCGGGTTCAAACGATTCAGCCTCCCCAGTAGCTGGGATTACAGGCGCGCACCACCACGCCTGACTAATTTTTTGTATATTTAGTAGAGACGGGGTTTCACCATGTTGGCCAGGCTGGTCTCGAACTCCTGACCTTGTGGTCCGCCCGCTTCGGTCTCACATCACTCTTTAAATTAAAAATGCGTTTACCATAAAGTCCAAACGCCTCAATACGGTATTGAAAGCTATATTTTAGCAGCTGCATCCCTCTCCCGCCTCATCCCAATTCACCCCTACGCACTTTACTGAACTTTGGGTTCTCTCAACCCAGAAACCGTTCTGCCTGGAAGGCGCTTCCCTCCTCAAATCCTCACTGTGTGTGACGCCTCCTCCAGGCCCCGCTCAACTGACATTCGCACACCCAGACGTCTGCCGTGGGCTTTTCGCCTCTTCCGAGCGGGCGGACGGTCCTGTTAAGACCCAAGACATTCCTGTTTCGCTCAGGTTAAAACCCTGAAGTACGTGGTCCGCTCATTTGGATTTGGCTCCTGCAGCCACACCTTTCGCCCCAGCACGAGACCTCGATTTCCCGGAGTCGCCATCCCGTGGCCCAAAAACAGACCAGCGCGCTACCCCGCCTCTGACGCTGCGCCGGGGGCGCGGCTGGACGGGCGGGCTGCGCCGGGGGCGGGGCGGGACGGGCGGGCTGCGCCGGCGCAGGGCGGGCAGTAGGCGGGGCCTGGCGTGGAGCGCGCGTTCGCTGTGGTAACGCGTCAGGCTGTCTGCCGTGGTGAAGGAGCGGAAAAGTCCGGGCGACAGTGAGTACCAGAATCCGGTGAGATCGAGGCGCGGAGCCGGGGCTCCTCAGAGCGTTTGGTTCCATTGCATTCCCCTCGCAGCCGCAGCCTGGAGCCCCCTGCGGCTCGGCCTGGGGAAGGAGACACACCTTCCAGGCTATTAAATTAGTATTTGTAAAAATACACTGCAAACTTGGGAAGAAATTGCCACCTCGCGGCCTGTGCAGCGGCTCACACCTGTAGGCCCAGTTAGTCGGGAGGCTGAGGCGGGCGGATCACTTAAGGTCAGGAGTTCGGGACCACCCTGGGCAACATGTCGAGCCCTCCCCCCCACCACAAAAAAAATCCAAAAATTAGCCGGGCGTGTTAGTGCACGTCTGTAATCCCAGCTGCTCGGGAGGCTGAGGCAGGAGAATCACTTGAACCAGGAGGCAGAGGTTGCAGTGAGCCCAGATCCCGCCACTGCACTCTAGCCTGGGAGACAAGAACACAACTTAAAAAAAAAAAAAAGGAAAGAAAAAAACCTTGGCACATAGTTTTAAAAGATTATTGGAAGTCTTACTTAGTAAAGCATTTACTAAACATTTTTTCTTTTGGTCTGTGAACTAGGCTGGGAAACATTTCCTTCCTCAGTAATTTTCCACAGATTCTAAAGAATTGCGGTAGAGGAACTGGACGGCTTGCTGCGGTGGTTGCAACTTTAATCCACTAGAAAATTTGTAAGGCCGGGCGGGGCCGTGATCACCAAGGTCAGGAGAGGGGACCATCCTGGCTAACACGGTGAAACCCCGTCTCTACTAAAAATACAAAAATTAGCCGGGCGGGTTGGGGGCGCCTGGTAGTCCCAGCTACTCGGGAGGCTGAGGCAGGAGAATGGCGTAAACCCGGGAGGCGGGCTTGCAGTGAGCTGAGATCCGCCACTGCACTCCAGCCTGGGTGACAGAGCGAGACTTCGTCTCAAAAAAAAAAAAAAAAAAAAAAAAAAAAGATTTGTCTATAGAAGAAAACACCCTCTTAGTTCGTAGGTAATGCCTAATACATTTTAGCAGTAATTTTAACATACACCACTTTTTTCAGCCACTTACTGACAGTCTTAACAAAAATGGGAAGCAGTTACCAGCATCTTCTATGTAGCTATGTGTTCAGCATTATGTCAGGTTCTAGGAGGAATCAAAGAAAAATGATTCCTGCCCTCTGGAAGTCTGCACAGTCTTCTGTCTTTAAAACAAAATTAGTGCATTCTGGGGCCGTTTCTTGACGATGGCACTTTGGGAGTCCCCATATAGTTCTGGGTAGTCATTAACTGAGCATGGTATTGTGTTCTTGTGAAAAACAGTAAGTTCAGGCCATGCGCAGTGGCTCACGCCTGTAATCCCAGCACTTTGGGAGGCCAAGGCAGGCGGATCACAAGGTCAGGAGATCGAGACCATCCTGGCTAACACGGTGAAACCCCGTCTCTACTAAAAATACAAAAAAATTGCCAGGTGTGGTGGCGGGCGCCTGTAGTCCCAGCTACTGGGGAAGCTGAGGCAGGAGAATCGCTTGAACCTGGGAGGTGGAGGTTGCAGTGAAGCAAGATCACGCCACTGCACTTCAGCCTGGGCAACACAGACTGCATCTAAAAAGAAGAGAAAAGGGGCCTGGTGCGGTGGCTCACGCCTGTAATCCCAGCACTTTGGGAGACCGAGGTGTGCAGATCACGAAGTCAGGAGATTGAGACCATCCTGGCTAACACGGTGAAACCCCATCTCTACTAAAAATAGAAAAAATTAGCCGGGCGCAGTGGCAGGTGCCTGTAGTCCCAGCTACTCGGGAGGCTGAAGCAGGAGAATGGCGTGAACCCGGGAGACGGAGCTTGCAGTGAACCTAGATTGCACCACTGCACTCCAGCCTGGGTGACAGAGCGAGACTCTGTCTCAAAAAAAAAAAAAAAGAAAAAGAAAAATGAGTTCTAACACATCACTAAGTGTTCAGTGTGTGAGAGTATAATGTGAATCTGAGTCTGCACTGGGCACTTAGGTGGGCACCAAGGAGACCCTTGTTCCTAACTTCTCCAGATGAGAATCTAAGCCATGATATCAAAACATTTACCTCAAGTGAACTTTACCAGTGGTGAGACGAGTGAGCCTTCTAGAGCATAATTCTCCAAGTGCCTTCCTGAACACTTTATGTATCAGAAGTTACCTGGGATGGTTGTGAAAAATGCAGAACCTGGGTTCCCCCTCCCCGAACCTACAAAATCAGACCCACTGTTGATGAATGCAGCAGTGTATAAAAAGAAAGTTGATGCATCCATTTTTACCAAGCATGCACTGCACAAAACATCCATACTCTGTAACCTGCCCTGTTAGTCTCTGAATGGTTTATTCTTACCCCTGTAACATCACCTTATTCTCTCCCCCTTTCCTGCTAAGCTACAGTTACACTTAGTGCTTTCATTGCTTTAAAAAAAAAGTCAAGCTGTGGCCTTTGCAATCCCAGCGCTTTGGGAGGCTGAGGCGGGCAGATCATGAGGTCAGGAGATCGAGACCATCCTGGTTAACACGGTAAAACCCTGTCTCTACTAAAAATACAAAAAATTAACCAGGCATGATGGGGGGCGCCTGTAGTCCCAGCTACTCAGGAGGCTAAGGCAGGAAAATGGCATGAACCCAGGAGACGGAGCTTGCAGTGAGCCGAGATCACGCCACTGCACTCCAGCCTGGGCAACAGAGCAAGACTCCATCTCAAAGAAAAAAAAAAAGTCAAGCTGTTTACTGTTGCAAGGCCCTGGCTCTTCTATCTGGATACTTCTGTGTAGGAAGCTGCTTCCTTCTACCACCTTGAAAAAAGTCTGTTGTTTTCAGTGCTATCACCTTAGAAAAGCCTTTCCTATTGGCCGGGCGCGGTGGCTCACGCCTGTAATCCCAGCACTTTGGGAGGCTGAGGCAGGTGGATCACAAGGTCAGGAGTTCAAGACCAGCCTAGCCAATATGGTGAAACCCCATCTCTACTAAAAGTACAGAAAAATTAGCTGAGTGTGGTAGCACATGCCTGTAATCTCAGCTACTTGGGAGGCTGAGGCAGGAAAATCGCTTGAGCCCAGGAGGTGGAGGTTGCAATGAGCCGAGATTGTGCCGTTGCACTCCAGCCTGGGCAACAAGAGCGAAACTCCATCTCAATAAATAAATAGGAAAAAATCATAACTGCATGAATTAACTGTAGTACTTACTGTAGTACTATAATAATTTTGTAGCCATATTTTTTTTTTTTTTTTTTTTGAGACGGAGTCTTGCTGTGTCGCCCAGGCTGGAGTGCAGTGGCCAGATCTCAGCTCACTGCAAGCTCCGCCTCCCGGGTTTTACGCCATTCTCCTGCCTCAGCCTCCCGAGTAGCTGGGACTACAGGCGCCCGCCACCTCGCCCGGCTAGTTTTTTGTATTTTTTAGTACAGATGGGGTTTCAGCGGGTTAGCCAGGATGGTCTCGATCTCCTAACCTTGTGATCCGCCCGTCTCGGCCTCCCAAAGTGCTGGGATTACAGGCTTGAGCCACTGTGCCCGGCCTGTAGCCATCTTCTGTTGCTATTGTGGTGAGATCAAGTGTTGTGTATAGCCACTTGAAATGTCATGTGACACTAGTCATGCCTGTATGGGCATTTTGTCTCCAGTAAATTGAATATCACAGTAAAAAATGATCTCTCCTGGTTCTCAAAAATATATGCTACTCACAACACTTAGAGGCACTTCATATGGGTCCCATGGAGTTATTAAATGTTTAGAGTAAACATGCTATACTTGCTGTACTGTAAACCTTTAATAACTCCATGGGATCCACATGAAGTGCCACCAGTGATGCTGTAAGTGCTCCCAAGAAGCAGAGAAAAGTCGTAATATTATGAGAAAAAGTTAAATTGTTTGACATGTACTGTAGATTGAGGTCTGCAGCTGCGGTTGCCTGCCATTTCAGACAGGTGATTCATCTTGTAAACAGATGATGTTAACTTACGGTATTGATAAATAGAGTACAGTACTGTAAATGTATTTTCTCTTCCATATCTTTTTTTTTTTTTTTTTTTTGAGACAGGGTCTAACAGTCTCCCAGGCTGGAGTGCAGTGGCACAGTTATAGCTCACTGCAGCCTCAAACTCCTGCGCTCAAGCGATCCTCCCACCTCAGCCTCCCAAGTAGCTGGGACTACTGGCACCATACATGGCTAATTTTTTTAATTTTTGTAGAGATAAAGTCTCACTTTGTTGCCCAAGCTGGTCTTCAATTCCTGACCTCAAGTGATCCTCCTGCCTCAGGTTCCCAAAGTTCTGGGGTTATTAGTGTGAGTCACCATGCCTGGCCTTTATGATTTTCTTAATAACATTTTCTTTTCTCTAGCTTACTTTATTATAAGAATACAGAATATAATATACATAACATACAAAATGTGTGTTAATCAACTGTTTATGTTATCAGTGAGGCTTCTGGTCAACAGTAGGCTATTAAGTTTTTGGGAAGTCAAAAGTTACACATAGATTTTTAACTATGTGGGAGCTTGGTACCCCTAACCCCTGTGTTGTTCAAGGGTCAGTTACATTTTTTAATATATATTAACAGCCCCTATAGCTTTTTTGTTTTTGTTTGAGACAAAGTCTCTATCTTTTGTGCAGGCTGGAGTGCAGTGGTGCACTCTCAGCTCACTGCAACCTCCTCCTCTCAGGTTCAAACGATTCTCATGTCTCAGCCTCCCGAGTAGCTGGGATTACAGCCACCTGCCACTATGCCCAGCTAATTTTTTTATTTTTTAGTAGAGACGGGGTTTCACCATGTTGGTCCGGCTGGTCTCGAACTCCTGACATCAAGTGATCCACCCAC